AAATAGGGAAGGGTGGAGGGGGTGAAGGGAGGGCAGGGGAATGGGGAAAAAATAAGAACCAAGAGACTCATGTAATGGTACAAGATCCCAATGATGAATATAACTGTATTGTATACCGAAAATGTACCAATAAAGTTAACGGGGAAAAAAAAAAGAAGCTGGGGGTGACAGGGCCAGGGCTTTAGGTCAGTGGCACCACGCCTGCCTCACAACTTCAAGGTCATAAGTTCAATCCCCAGTACCAGGAAAAAAAAAAAGGAAAGAAGCTGGGGGTGGCTGGGGGTGGGGAGAACACTTACTAACACGGGGACCAGCTAGAGAAATCCTTTATTTCTGCTTTGCCTATAAGGAACCGTAAAACAACCATTTGAGGTGCTCTAGTTTAATCAAAATCATGCAAGGAGTCTTATGAAGACTCTTAGTAAGTGTTAGTAGGTATTTTATCAGCTTATTTTTGTTGCAGTTTCCAGTTTTTATAAATGGTTAGGTAAATTTTCCACCTTCCCAAAACCCTAATTCTTGTAGATTTCGTTAGGGTTGGACCAATGCTTTCTCATGTCTCAATCTTTCTTTGTGCATTCTTTTCAGATGTACTAAACAGAAACCCTGGAGATTGAGAAGTAACAAGGAACTGTGTCATCTTCCTCTATCTGACACCAGCACCTACCTCCATGACAAACTGCCCAGAACAGGTTCCTGTCATAGTGGAGCTCTGTCCTGCAGCCAGGACTCCCACTGCCCAGATGTAGAGTGCGGCAGGCCCAAAGTAACAACCCAGCACAACACTCTGGGAAAGGCAAGGGAGAAAGATGTGCTTGTGTCAGTGATCTGCTTAGTCATTGCTTAAAATAGCGTTTTTCTGAGGCATTTCTCTCTCTCCTTTGCTAAGTGGTATGTGTGCCAAGTACTGTACTGTATCTAACCTCAGGCTCAGTTTTGATCTGATTCTAGAGGCTGTCAATCTCAACAGTGCTGGATGTTGCCTCATTCTTCAGCCTAGTCCTTTCTCTTCTCCAAACTTCTCAAACCTTCAGCTCCAACCTCTCTCTGAAATACTGAAAAAACAGAAGTCTAAAGCAAATTTCCCAAATTATATTCTTTAGCACATTATTCTAGAAAATGATAATACAAGTTCAGAGAAAGATCAAATACATTTGGGAAATATTGAGCAGTATATATTGTACTCTTGGAATGTCACAATAAACCATGAGAAACAAACTGAGAAACACTGCTAAAGAACACTTAACTGCGGGTGTGGTGGTACACGCATATATAATCCCTGCACTCTGGGAGGTTGAGGCAGGAGTACCACAAATTCCCACCAAAGCTGACCCTGTCTCATTAAAAAAAAAAAAAAGGAGGCCGGGGATTTAGATCAGTGGTTCCGGTGTCTGCCTCACAAGTGCAAGGTCCCGAGTTCGATCCCTGGTACAAAAAAAAAAAAAAAGGCAAGGGATATAGCTCTACAGTTCAGTGTAAAGACTCTGAATTTAATCCTCATTTTATATATACGGTAGAGATAGAGAGATAGAGAGAGAAAGAGAAGGAGAGACAGAAACACAGAGCTGGAAACAGAGACAAAGAAGGTCACCAAGAGTTTTGGAATGGCTATTGTGCAATCCATGTTTTCCACTAACCCTCTATCACTTGTATGTACCACAAAATGCTTATTTGACATTTGGACCTTGAATGATACTCCAAGCAAGTAGACATGCTCAAATCTGAAGTAAATCACAAAAAAGCCAGATAATATGCCAAGAAGATTGATTCAGGAGCAAAGATCACAAACTTGAACGTGGTGAGCCCTTTGTAGATGTCCACAGCCAGAGTTGATCCATCATCTTTAGGAAAGAGGCCGGCATTGGGACTGCTGCTATTTTTACAGATATCCACCTAGAACACAGAGCAATTTCAGCACAACTTTTGTTGTAGAGGAAAGGATCAGAAGAGAAGAGCCGCCCTACAGATCACAAGCAAGTCCTCTAAGGGGTGGGCTGGAGGGAACCCTGATGCAGGCTGTGTGTGATGTGGACAGTCTGGGGGCAGTGTTAAGTGTAGTCTTTCTCCGCAGTCTCTCTGCATCCCCAGGACATCAAAACTCATTGCCGAGTTAGTGTGCATGACAATACATAAGACTTGGGCATTTTTATGATGACAAGTGGTGAAGTCCTTAAGAAAGCCTGAAACATGTGAGGATACTCAGACTAGAGAGCCCTCAGTTAAAGCAGAGCCAAGAGCCAGAGATCTTGTCAATGTGAAATAAATGCTGACCAAAGCTACATAGGCAAATGGAATGGGGAGGACACAGAATTTGACAAAGCAAAATCCATCCTCGTCATAGTTTCTGTTTTCTGTTGGCCAAGTTCTCCCAACTGATCCTTATCTCAAATGAGAAAACTGGCAAGCAGGTAGGCAGAACTGGACATGCAGGACACAAAGGGGAATGACAAAGAGTCAAACAGATGTAGTCACCTACATGATAGCATGAGATAAACCTTGGATCTGAGGCCAGCTCCCTTCCCAGCCAATACCTGGGACAGAAGAGACTAAGCTTGGTCAGTGCCCAGGCTGTCAGCTCTGACTGGTACACAGCTATGTAGGAGGCAGCACTGAGCCTGCAGATCCATCTCCTTGGGCTCCAAGTCATTGTATTTTCCTGTCCCGTTGCAGCTTTCATTTTACCCTCACGTGTATGGTCACCTGTGACCCTGGCTTACTCACCACCTGCTGATGGATTCTCTCGAAAAAGTGATTCAGCAAAAACTGAGATAACGGAGACGTTAACTATGAAGGAAACAAAGAGAGCAATGCAGGATTCAATGAAAAAGTATTTATTGGCTTCTCGAAGTTCCTGCTTATCATTACATTTTATCTGTCTAGATTAGAGAAAGATAGCAGGAGTCATTTCTTGACCAGTTGTGGCAAGTTCCCCTGTAATAATTCAGAAATTTAGAGTTAGCTGAAAGATTGAGGATAAACAATTGACTACATGAAAGGTAAGAGACCCAACACTCACCTAAATCCTAGTTTATTAAGCCGTTAAGAACTCCACACCCACTGAAAGCATTGCACATTCTCCATATTGGGGCCAGTGACAAAGTGACTAGAGCACTCTCAGGCACTGGGGCTGGAAGGACAACTGATCTACAAAAACAAGCTGATTTCAGTCCTAGAAAATATAAACCTAATTATAAAGGTCTCTGAAATCTCCTAGTAAATGACTATATGAGACTGACAAAAGTCAGTCTCCTTATTTGGGCTCCTTTAGTCCTGACCTTCACAAGGCTACTCAGGGTTTAGGAGCTTAAACACAAAAGCATGGTATACTTTCAGGCCTGACGAAGATCATTAGCCCCAGCTTCCCTGTCAGGTCAGTAATTCCTGGCCAATTTAGTGATAAAAACATAAAAAAAGCATCCTTAGAAATATCTTGTTCCTTGAGGGCTCTCGCACTGGTAAACTAAATTGATGCCCCTGGCACTAAAGGACTATCATGAACTATCCAGGGAGCCACTGAGACAGGGGCCTACTCACCTTGACTAAGGCAGGATGTAGGTGCGGTTTGGTGGTATGATGACAGCTCCCACGATGCCTACAACCTGCCGGAACTGTGGGGTCCGACAGCTGGAGCGGGGTGGCCTAAACATGCCCTTCAGTATCGGGCTCAGGTGGCTTGCACTGCGACATACTATGTACCAACTAGTATCCTTCACTGGCACATGAGATAGAGGGTGAACACAGTAGTGGGGGAGCCTCAGCATCCTTTATTCCTTACAACCTGTTCTTGTGCAACAGCTACTTAGGATATGAAGAATACAGAAGCATCAGAAAACCAAGAAACACAAGGGGCTTACTGCCAGGGGTCAGATAATTCAGGACTAGATATTCTAGATATTTTACATCACACTTTAGATGTACAAATAGGTTGTAGTACATAATTAATATTCTAAATAAATAAGATGACTGTTAAGGTCTTTGTTATTAGCTTTATACTAACAAATATGAAACAAACCTCAGTATGCAGAATCAGTTCTTGATTACTCACACTTTTCATGTTCACCTATGTTCATCTAAAAATCATCTGTTTGGCAGTAGTGTGTAGTGAGAGATTTGTTCATAAAAAAAACCCTTCTTGGGCCAGGGATTTAGCTCAGTGGTTTCGCTGCCTGCTGTGCAAGTGCAAGGACCCGAGTTCGATCCCTGGTACCAAAAAAAAACAACCCTTCTTGCCAAGTGCAAGATCCTGAGTTTGATCCCTGGTAACAAAAACAAACAAACAAACGAAAACCAAACCTTCTCATTCATACTTTTAGCTGATTCAGCATTTCTCTTGCAAGCCTTGGGGCAACCTGCATGATGTACTCATAGACTAAAGATAGTCTTAAATTTTAGCCAGGTCAGTAAATCAGTTTCTAATTATTGCACATGGAAAGGTGCTATTATTACAAATAATGGTACTAATTCTAGGAGTGTCTGTGTTGGGGCTGAAACCAACATATATCCAGTTTATCACCTGTAATTCATCACTGGTTTAAAACAGGAAAAGTTCAAGGTACAATTAGTATAAACCATGATGAGAAAAACTGAACCACTTTAAGATAAAAGACAAGAATAACCTTGTGGAGACAGAACCACTCCAAGTTTACAGCCCCAAATAACCTTGCAATCCCCTCCCTAACTTTTTCCAGGATGTTTTAGTGTCAGGATGGTCAATTTGGGTAACCAGAAGTCTGGACCGGAAAGCACTAGAATATCTAGTCATTTCTGAGCTAGGAATCCCTGCAGGTCTTCTTGCATATAAGTCTTTGCTATAGATTATATTCCTTCAAAATTAGCCCAGAGCTGAATTGGCTTTTTGTTGATACACATAGTACATTTAAAACACACTAGCATTATTACTGTGTTTACAATAAAAGGCTAAACCTAAAAACAAACCCTTAAAAAAAAAAAAAAGGCTAATGAACAGCCTATAACATTTGCCTCATACCCAAATGTGAGGTCCATAACAGTGATGAGAAAACCAAAAAATGCTTCTAGCTTCCACAATCCCAAAGGGAAAATGCAACTGTGATCTCACTGTAGCCACATGATTAAAAGTATCTCCTTTGGTTGACTCCTCCATTCCCACTTTCCTTGCCAAATTTGTCCAAAGAGAGAAATACAAAAGTATCTATGATAATAATGAGAATTCCACCCCATAGAGGAACCCTAGATTAGAAATGAGACATGCAAATAAAAGGAAACACTGAAAAACACTCTTTTCCTGACTGCTATCCTAATTTGGAACTCTGAGAGAATCTGGGATTGGGGGAGGCAGGACACTGGCAGGAAGCCAGACCTTGGGTAACTGAAGATCATAGCACCAACTTGGGCTGAGGATACAGCTCAGAGGTAGAACACTTGCATAGTATGTGCTAGGCCATGAATTGACTCCCCAGAGCACTGCCAAGACAGGGCAAGGGGAGTTAGATATTTAAGTTTTGGGGATTTAGCTCAATGATAAAGTGCTTATTTAGTACCCATGAGGCCCTGGGTTCAATACCGTGTACCAAAAAAAAAAATATCAAACAGCAGAGCATGAACTTAATTACACTCAAACTCCAACTTAAAGTCTACAATATCAGAGATTCGGACACCAAGCTGAAAAATAAGATCTTATCCTCAAGAAACTCACTACCTAGTGGGATAAACTGACATAAATAAATAATTTTAATACACTCTATAGTAAAAGGCATATATAATCCAGCATGGGACTGGAAGATGGACAAACTACATGTTCTGGTAGAGAAGAAGTCGTTCAAGAAAGACTCCATAGGGCCAGGGATATAGCTTGGCGGTGAAGTGCCTGCCTGGCAAGCAGAGAGGCCCTGAGTTCTATTCCCAGGACCGCCCCCCCCCCAAAAAAGGGCTCCATAGAACAAATAGTACTTGAATCTTGAAAATTAAAAATGATTTGGGTTTTCATTTTACCTTTGCTTTGAAATCCAGGAAAACACTGACAAATCCCTCACCTTGTGGACAGGAGACTGATGGTGATGGCTAAGGCAATGACAATAACTTCCTGTGCATTTAAGCCAACGATAGCCAACTCCACCATCAGCCACAGCTGACTTGTGGGACCTACACAGCAAAGCTGTGGTTCTGATTGTTCACTTCTTCCTCTGATTATCTAGTTCCAATTAGTCAGAGCCTCCTCTGTCACTTGGCACATACCATGGACCATCCTTCGTAAGCCCCCGGACTAGAAAGGAAGTGCCAGAGCTTGGCCCCACTCTGCATTCCACTGCACGGCAGCCCCAGATAGTCCTGTCAGTGAGAGAGTCCATGAGCCAAGGTCAAGGTGACAACTGACCTTACTTTTTTCTCCTTCCTTTGAATGCAAGAGAGGAACAGAATTTCTGCTAATTTCCACTTAATTTCTTGCCTAAAGACAATCCTAAGAGTTTTAGAGGAGACTATGCCAGTATGGTCAAAGTAGGGGTCAAGAAAGAATAGGAAATGATGACAAAAGAAAACTTCTATCCTAACCATACCTGAAATAACAAAACAAATATGAAAAGACTTGGTTCATCTTTTCCTTGGGTGGAGGTCATCTTTAATATAATACTAACATGCATGAAAGGGGAAAAAAAGATGAAAGGTGAAAAGACTTAGGGTAAAGCTGTTGTGTGGCATACAGTAAAGTAGGAAACTAATTTGGACACTAGCTGAAAGACAAATTTAGTTAGTGCTGGCTTGCTGAAGCAAAAAAGAAAAATAAGAAAAACACTGCCAGGTATCTCCTTTTCAAAAAATTTTTTGTGTGTATGGTTCTGAAGATAGCACCCAGGTCTTCTCTACCACTGAGTTGCATGCCCAACCTTTCATTTTTATTTTGAAACAGAGTATCCCTATGCTTTCTAAATCCTCCTGTCTCAGCCTCCTAAGTATCGGGAGTATGGGCATGTACCACCATGCCTAGAAAAAATAGACAACTTGACACACATGAAGAGAAGCTAGAATAAATTATAAATTACTGTTGGTTTTTCCAAAATAGGTAAGACTACTTCATGCCACAGATAAGTAAAAAGATTAAACATTTAGGGCATACCTCAGTTAGGTCACTATCTTACCCAAAGATGAAGCTCAGTTAAAAATGTTATCTAGAGCCTGAGACTGTACTCCATGGTACAGTGCTTGCATAGCATATGAGGGACCTGTATATAATCCCCGGAACAATGAGGAACAAAAAGGACTCATACATAGTATTCATTCCTGCTTCATGTGGGAATAGAAAGAAATATTCAGAAGGAGGCTGATCATTGTGATGCATGCCTGTAATCCCAGCACTCTGGGAGCTGGGGAAGAAGAATCCCAACTTCAAGCTCAGTCTGGCAATTTAGCAAAAAAAAAAAAAGACCCAAGAATGTAGTCCAGGGCCTTTGCCCTGGGTTCAATCCCTAGTAGTGCTCCTCCCACCAAAAAAAAAAAAATCCACAAGGAAGCTTTGTAGTAAAAGGAAAAACACGGTTTTCAAAGTGATGGCAAAGACAAACAAAAAAGAAGATACAGTATATCTAATACAAACTGATATAGTAACATGAATATATGTATAAAAGTCTTTGAAGAGAACAATCCCTCCCTCATGGATGGGCTGGGCATTGGCAGATGCCAGAAGGTAGAGTGTATTTACTCACACAGAATTTCTCTAAGGAAACCTTATGGGAAAAAAGTGAATCTCAAGCGAGGTTTGGGAAGAAGGGGAAAACGGCTTGGCAGCAAGAGGGACAGATTTCCCTTGGTCCTCCCAGGCTTCAGGGCCACTAACCCCAAGTCCCCCAACGTCAGTATACAGTAGGGTCAGCACACATGGGCTGACACACAGATTCCCCTGGGAGGGGGAGAGACACAAAGAGGACAGCACGCGGCTCACCTTGGGATACTGACGGTGACAAACTTCAGCAAGGTGCAGCCCGGTGACCACTCCCAGTCTAGCTGCAAGGCGCTGGAGCAGCAGCCCTACAATGGTGGCCAAAAGAAGGACCCAGAGCAACTGAGAAGAAAAAAATCCCCAACCCCATAACACTCATTAGACAACTGGGTTTTTGTTTGGTCGTTTGATATTGCAAATGGGAAACACAACATGAAGGAAAAGCCCAGGTCAGGAATGCAATGACCCAACTTCAGAATCACATTCTATACATGACCGACTAGGCACCTTGTACCTTTCTGAGCCTCACTTTCTCTAATCTGCAATTTCTCCTTTGTTCAAGAAAACTATGTGGATAAAACAAAATGAAAAACCAAATAGGAAGTATTATTTACATAATTGTCAGTGAGGTACAGTTTTTCCTGGAACAATAATGCAGGAGTGGAGGGTTAAGGGCATGAAACCCTATGAAGTTGAAAAGTTTGCCGTGCTCCTCTGCCATGCCACCCTGCCTGGGGCCAGTCGACTATGGACTGAAACCTTTACAAACTGAGCTGAAATAAAACTCTCCTCCTTTAACTTGTGCTTGTCCAGTATTTTGTCCCAGCAATGAAAAAGTAAGTAAGACAGCGACCATTCACTGTGCAAATGGAATAAGAGCACCATAGCTGAATAAAGAAAACATGAAATTCTTACTTTCCTGATTTAAAAAAGCTCACTGATGCCACTTTGCAACTGTATCCAAGGCCTCATCTTCCTGAATAGTCTATGTATTCTGATTTCAAAAATTAAGTCTTGGATTGGCTGCCAAAATTGGACCAGAAGCTGTCGAGCTTGAGTCTAGAAGATCTGTACAGGCTTTTTCTAGGCAACAGTGTCCTGTCCAAGAAACTGTCACTAACCTCCTCCTCAGGAATGGCAGCCTTCTTGTCAGAGTAGGTATATTGGGCTCCTCTACTATAGGCAGAGCCAATGGCACTATGAGTGGCCGAGTCCCAAAGCTCTCTAGAGTATCATCTGAATTAACACATTTGAGAAGAAATCAATGAAAATGAACAAAATACACTAACAATTCAACCTCAGTAATACTGACAGTAAATGTCTCTAATACCTACGAGACCAACCTGACTCTAGCTCTATTTATTTTGTTTTTGCAGTGTGATGAATGGCCTTGGAGCCTCCCACAAACTCAGCAAGTACTCTACCACTGAGCTATGCCCCTAGCCCCCTCATTTATTTTATTGGTGTATTTATCATTATTAATTGTGAGATGGAATCCCATTCTGCTGCCTAGCCTGGCCCAGAACTCCTGGGCTCAAGCAATGCTCCTGCCTCAGTCTCCCGAGTACGTAGTTGGAGCTACAGTATTACTATACAGGTATGCACCCTCACACTCAACTCAAATTCATCTTTATTTACATTTTAATTAATTTATTTTTTAATTAGGTAATGTATTCACATGGTTAAAAATTCAAATACAAAAAAGCCACTACCATATGTGCTCCTTCTCCCCTCTCTTCCCAATCACTAAGGTCTAGATCAGTTTTAACACTAATTTCACAATAGTTTTCCTACTCCACACTTCTATTACCTACTTAGTAATTTTAAAAATCAGAATACTACAACAATTCAGGTTACGTGATGCTTTAGGAAAACCACCAAGGAGGAACACTTTGGATTCTGACTAAGACCTACAGTGAAAGGCCACTGGTCACTGGATATTTTATTGCTCCATATGCATCTGGAACATCACTCTGGAGGTCACGAAGCCAGGTTGGGAACAAGTCTGTCCTTGTAAGGATTATTACTACAGAAACATGAAACTAATAGTGGTTCAACTCTGTGCTAAAAATGAGATACTAGGCAGGCCTCAGGCCTCTGTAATAATAAATCAATATTCATCTACATCCTAAGTCACAAAAGGTGACTTCTGAATGAAGTTGTTGGAACAGATACCAAGAGAAAACATGATAAATTTCTACTGCTACTATAAGCCAAATTCGAAATAAAAATTAGACAATAAGAAAAAGATATAAATTACCACCTGCCATCTTCTGTTCAGGACCCAACACCATGGTGGGCACCTGAGGGCCCATGTTCTTAGAATAAGAGTCTGGAAAGAAGAAAAGGGAAAAGAATTAGCAAGAACGAACCAATAAGTTCAGAGCAAGTATTCTGTTACTCTGTATGACTTGTAGCCAATTTACTCTTCCCTCTGGGTCTGTTTTGTAGGTAGCAAAGAATTAGGCCAGCAAACAGCAGTGGGGAACCAACTGGGTGTGCTTTATCAGAAAAAACAAAGAAATGCCCTTGCTAGCTGAGAAGAGCTCTAGGGAGGACCCTGCAGAGCTACCTAAATCTAGGGGCTTCCATGCAGCCTTTGATGGACGATATTGGCAGGCGCCCTGAAGGGTCAGTTTGTCACTGATGGGAGCCCTCTGGGTTCTTCCCGAACTCGGCAGGAGTGTGAAAGTGAAGGCATGCCAGTACCACTGTTCTTAGGCTTTTGTTGTGAGGAAAACAGATTTTATTAGTCTTTTGTCTTTTTTGCACCCTAATTGGGACTTTGTCCCTTGTACTCCAATTTTTTGAGGCTTATTTTGGTTTATTTAGGCCTTTGCCCTTACCTGACATCATTCCTCTATCTCTTGGTCTCAGACAGAACTCTTAACTATATGAAAAGATTTCTATTGAATTAAACTACAATAAAAATAATTACAACTTTCAGAATATGAATGAGATATTTAACAAAAATAAGGAAGTCATAATCACTCATGTGTGGCGGGGGGTGTGTGTGTGTGCTGGAACTAGGAATTTAACCCAAGGCCTTTACATAAGCTACATCCCCAGTGCTTTGTTCTTTGAGACAGGGTCTAAGTCACAGTATTGCCCAGGTAGGACTCAAACTTGCAATTCTCCTGCCTCAGCCTCCCAAAGTGCTGGAATTATGGGTGTACACCACGCCCAGCTTCTTAATCACATTTTTGATGGCAAGACTTTAAAACCAATTACAGCAAAAGGATTTTAGTGATATAGGCAAATCTTTCTTTTTTTTAAACAGAGCCTAAGTGGCCCAGGATGGAATAATTTTTGCTCCAAATTGAAGCAAAAGGTATTTTAGTGATATAGAAAAACCTTTTTAATAAGTATTCAGAATTCAAGTGTAGTAACTAGTTTATTCCATTTCTTATCAACAGATGTAAACTGCTTTTCAAGATAAAACTGCCAATAAAAGGGCTAAGGATTTAGCTCAGTGGTACTGTTGCCTGCCTTGCAAGCACAAGGTCTTGAGTTTGAACCCCAGTACCAAAAAAAAAAAAAAACCCTGCCAATAAAAGTACAGTTTCTGTCTAAAATTCCAAAGTCTGAGTTTATCTTTTGATTCAGCAATTCTACTCCTAAAAGCAAATCCTAAATAAAAACGCAAGGAAATACATACAAGAATGTTTCCTACAACATTGTTTATAATTTCAGAAGAGTGAAAAAACCCTGGATACTAGTAAGGAACTGATTGATGAAACTGCATATTCACAGGGCAGAATACCAGGTACCCATTATAAATAAGCTAGATCTGTATGTGTTGATAGGAAATGATCTGTAAGATATGTTGTCAAGTGAAAACACGTACTTATTAAACACTATGCCACCATGTATGTAACAAAATGAAGAACAGGGAAGAGGACATGCACATTATACATGCAGACCATGGCCAAAGAATACACTCAAAAGTGACAGTAAAGACTGTGCCTAAGAAAAGGAAGTGAGGACCACAAACGAGGTCAAGTGAAAGGAAGACTTGGGTTTTGTTTGTTTTCGTTGCTGCTTTTGGTAGAACCCGGAACCTTGGCACTGAGCTATATTCTCAGCCTTTTTTTTTTTTTTTGGTACCAGGGATGGAACTCGGGTCCTTGCACTTGCACAGCAGGTGGCAAAACCACTGAGCTAAATCCCTGGCCCCCCTCTTTTTAATTTTATAGTTTGCAACAAAGTTGCTAAGTCACCTGGGCTAGGCTCCAAACCTCTGCCACACTGTCCTGGACTGCTGGGATTACAGTCACACACCACTAGACCCAGCTGACTTCTTACTGGCGTGTAACTGAGCAATTTAGTGAGATTATGTCTCCAAAAAAAAGTTTTACAGGTACCTGTATTATTTACTTATTCTATGTGGTCCTAAGGCTCAAACCCAGGGCCTTAGAATGCTAAGCACACTCCCCAGCCCTTATTCAGTCTTTTTAAAACATAAAGTTTATATAGATTCTTTCAGCTTATGAGAGAAATGAACACTTTGGGGATGTGCAGTTGGACTCTCTGTTAACGTTTCCTCAACATTGGGGATGATCAGAGATCTGCAGCTGTCTACCCAGCAGGCAGTTACTGCCTTAAGCTTAAATTAGGATATGTTTAGTGTGAAAATAGCCATTCAAATTGTTAGACCCAGCGAGACAGAACCAACCAGAGACCGATATTAAATCCACATAGGAGTTTATTACCGGCTGGGACCCGAGCCGAGCATTGGACTCAAGCCCCAACGGGGGGTGGGGGG